CTTCTCTGCAACTTAGTAGCCATGCTCTGCTCAGTTTCTCAGCATCTCTATGAATTCAAAAATTGGCCTCAATAGAAAACACTACAACCATTTTAGTGAACTTCTCTTGTCCAGCATCTCAAATTCTGATTGCCTGTGTAGCTTTCCTATGACATCAATGAGTTTTTTAAATTTTATTTGATCAAGATTTTTAGTTTTATTTTTCTTTCTCTCTTCCTTTCTTCTTTTCTTTTCTTCTCTCCTCTTTCCTTCCTTCCCTTCCTTCCCTTTCCTCCCTCCTTCCCTCCTTCCTTCCTTCCTTCCTTCCTTCCTTCCTTCCTTCCTTCCTTCCTTCCTTCCTTCCTCCTTCCTTCCCTTCTTCTGTCCCTCCCCTCCCCTCCCCTTCTCTCTTCATTTTTATTTTCTTCCCAAGAAAGCTAGAAGGTACTTGGTAATTTTTTTTTTGTTATTAAGCATACTCTATTTTAAATGTGTTTTTTTCTGTTTTAAGATTTTCACTTTTTATCTGTAATATCTTTGTTTTCAGAGATGTCTTGCATCAGTTAACATTTGCTGCTTTGCAAAGAACCCATATGTTAGTGTATTAAAACAGCTATTTAGCCCTGGCCAGTTTTGCTCAGCGGTTAGAGCGTCGGCCTGCCGTCCGGAGAGACCCGGGTTTGGTTCCCGCTAAGGGCATGTACTTTGGTTGCAGTTTGTCCCCGGCCCTGGTTGGTCGTACGGGTGGCAGCCACTCGATGTGTCCCTTCACGTCGATGTTTCTCTCTCTCTCTCCTTCCCACTCTATCTGTACAGAAAATGGAAAAATATCCTCGGGTGAGGATAAAAAACAAACAAACAAAAACAGCTATTTATCTCACAGTTCTGTGGGTCAGCAATTTGGGCTGGGCTCAGCTGAGCAGTTAGTTCTGTTGTGTGCATCAGCCTTGGTTAATCTCCTATGGGCCTCACTCAAGCATCTGATGCTGGCTGCTGGGTTGGCTAGGAACTGACTGATTAAACTGTTTTGGATCTTCTCTATGTGGTCTCTCATCCACCAGCATATTATCCTCATGCTTATTCATGATGTGGCAGGATTCCACACACAAAAGCAGAAGTCTGCATTCAAAAACCTTCAGAAATCATACAATATTGATTCTCCTGCACTGTTTTGACAAAGGAGGTCACAAGGCCACCCCATATTCAAGGGATGGAGAAATAGATTCCACCTCTTGTTGAGGGAAGCCAAAAAGAATTGTGGTCATATTTTAAATCTGTAACAATTGCTAAAGTCATCATGAATTCTAATATTTCAGTCTCTTGGACATTTGTATAATTGACAGTCACATCCACTGCAAATAATGACAGTTGTTTTTTCCTTTCCAATTTTTACACTGCCATTTCCTTTCATTGCCTGATTGCACTGAATCGACCATGGAGTACAATTTCAAATAAAAGCAGTCTATGTCATCATGAGAACCCTATTGGAAGACCTCAATCTTTACAACAGAGCTCTGTGGTTGTAACTGCCCCTCCCCTTAGTTTCCACTCCCCTTCTTAAGTTCCTTCTCTGTCATTGTTTGAGGGCCATGCGTGCAGGTGTGAGGTTTTCCATGTCTGCATGCTCTGGATTGCAATCCTTTATTTTTCCTGAATAAATCGTGTTTGGTAATGGAATACCTAGTCATTTCCATTCTCCAGTTGACACTGGGCTGTATCATCATTTCATGTTTGGCTCTAGAGTTCCAGTATTTTTATAACCAGTAGATTGTTCAGACTTCAGTGCCAATTTTCAGACCAGATCTTTCTCAATATATATCTCCCCAATAGCTATATAGAACACAATATATTAAGACTTGTGTATATACATTTTGCCCCCAAATTGCTCAGTAAGTATTTGTTGAATGAGTGAATATATTTGTAGATGCATCACTTGAAAACTGGGGGTAGGAGATAATTTAATTGTTCAAAGTTAAACTGATACATTTCTATTAACATTTAGTATAACTATATGCCACTGATGAAATTTTAATAAGAGGAATTAGAAGTAGTGCTAATAAGTTTGAATGGAACTATAGAATTAAAATGGTAACATAGTAAGAAATTCAGAAATAAAGGCTATCTAGAGGCAATGATTGCAGTGAATATTAAAACAAGTAGCTTTTGGACCCTTTTCACTTTGGCCCAAAATAAGAAGTCCATTTTACTTCGAGAATGAGCAAAATCATATATGCATGAGATGCCTGCTGCATTTTCTATTCATTTCCCTCTTTTTCCTTCTTTCATATCCTATCCAATATGATACATACAATTTGAAAACCATAGATCTAGGCATGATAGTCCTTGATAATTTATCTAAAGGATCAAGGCATAACTAATACTTTGTTCACTCTTTGTCTTCCTCTACAGAGGCTATCTCTTGTTTCTGTTAAAAAGCTCAGCATGTCTTCACCCACTTTCTAGTAATGGCAGCATAATTTTCCTCTTGGAAATTATCCCTCTCCTTTTCTTCGTCCATAGGTCAAGTCAATTTCCTGTCCACTGCTACTCCCAAACACTCCACTTCTACCAGCTCTGAGGAAAGCACAACATTTGGTTCTGGTCAAGCAGAGTAACTATCTCTCTGACTACAAGGAGTGTCTCAGGAATTGGCATATAAGCTAAGAAAGACAAGTGCACTCTGCTGCCAAGAACAAGCTCTTGTTTTGCCACATTGGAAGCTGGTGAGAATCAGGCTGTAGCTCCTGGAAGCATCATATGGAGAAAGCTGCCTAGGAGGGAAGCCAACAAGCAGACAGAGATGGAAAACTGATGACATCATTTGTGACCTTGGATCCAGTCACTTTTTCCAGTACACTGAAATGTGCCTTTTGAAATTCTAATGTAAGAAAAAAATTCATGCATCAAATATTTAGTATGTGAATTTAAAATTTATTAAAAATGTACATTTTCAGATCGCTTCTGTCCTAAATTTATGAATAAAGCAAAAACAGACAGAAATCATTACATAATCATTTATATCTTAAATGGTACTATAAGTATCTAAAATTATTTTTATATGGGAAAATAAGTTCGTTGGACATTTCAATGTCATTATCAATGACATTTTTCAGTGTCCATACATTTTTAATTTTGCTGCTCTGCGAGCCCCATTTCATTTATTAGGAAAAAGACATTTGAAAAATGCATATTATTCAAATTATTTAAAACTATTTAAGGAAGATAAATGTTAATGTAAAATAGCTTTTAAAAATATAAATCACATTTTTAAGTTCTACTCAGTTGTAAATGTCTGCATAGTTTACTGACTTTAAGAAAAATTAAAAATCAACATAGAAAGTATACTGAAAGCTGCCAATACAAAGTATTAGCCATAAATGAAAAGTATAAGCTACAGCTTTAAATATTAAGGTGGAAAAATACATACAATAAGTGACACACCACATATAGTACCCACATTGTTCATAACGTATGAACAAGTTTGTGCCTAGTTATACAACTTCTCTCTATTAGACATTCACTGATGTTCATTTATTGGTGTTTTTAAAAATACATTATATAAAGATCTAGACAACAGTTACTCATATTCAAATACCTTTTTAAAAATGAAAACAATTTGTTCTCCACAGCAGAATTAAAACACAGCTAGATATAGCAACACTCCAGTATCTCTAGGAAATATTTATTCATCTCACATAAATAAATTTTGTACCAAGCTGGGACATCTGGAGTTAGTAGACAGAGTGAATCACTTATACAATATTTCTATTTTGTATTTTTTACAAGTTATAAGAGGAAATGATTGGATTAGAGATCTTGTGCTTTCACTATTATTAGCTTTAATTATTGTTTGCAAATAGGGTTACCCAAAGAAGGTGCATTTAATAATCCTATCTTAAAATATCTGACAGGGAAAACAGAAAACTGTCACAGCTATTTTGACCTTTTTTGTTTTTTGTTTTGTTTTTTTATCCTCACCCGAGGACATTTTTCCATTTTTTGTACAGATAGAGTGGAAGGGAGAGAGAGGAAAAGAGAGAGAGGGAAACATCAATGTGAAGGGACACATCGAGTGGCTGCCACCCGCACGACCAACCAGGGCCGGGAACAAACTGCAACCGAGGTACATGCCCTTAGCGGGAACCAAACCCGGGTCTCTCCGGACCGCAGGCGGACGCTCTAACCGCTGAGCCAAACCGGCCAGGGCTATTTTGACCTTTTTTATTATTGCTTTGAACATACAAAAAAATTTACAGTTGATGCTGCAACAAAATTGGTTTCTTTTTCATAGCTATACACAGAACACTAAGTAACTTCGGGAGATAAGGAAAAAAAGTTTCATTGAAAATAGGCACTTTTGAAACTGGTACAAATAAAGAAGTAATTTGAAAAAAATTACATTTGTATTTTTTTCTTAATGAACATATCTTAAATATAACATTTTAGGAGACTCTCCTTCTTGCTATAACTATTAAGAATTTCATTCCTGAGATTTTTGGACTCAATTGAAGTTCTTAAAGTAAGCAAAGAGGAAAGACATGTTTCTTCCCAGATGGGAAGCTGAACTGTGGATCAACATCTTAGCCAGTTACATTCTGTCACTTTTCCATACGTCAGATTTTTCATTTCAGATGAATGCACCCTGTAATGTATTCCTTAACTACTGCTCCCAAATACCCCCATCTTTTTTTTCTCTATTGATTTTAGAGAGAGAGGAAGGGAAAGGGAGACAAAGATAGAAACATCAATAAGAGAGAACATCGATTGGCCGCCTCCTGCATGCCCCCCACTGGGGATTTGGCCCACAACCTGGGCAGGGAATGGAACTGGCGACCTCCTGGTGTATAGGTCAATGTTCAACCACTGAGCCACACTGGGCGGGCATGCCACATTTTTAAAGAGCTGAAATGTTCAGCTGAAAGATGGTAAATAGGTAAAAGTTATTGTTACTAAATATTTGCCATTGTAGGTAGCCTCCCTCTTTTAAATAGTAATATATATAAAAAAAATGAGGGTTTTTTTTTTACATCTGTTTTTATTTAAGTAACAATTGAAGTATCTCATTTAAAATGATGTTCTAAAAATCTTTAATATTTATGAACCACGAATTTAAATACATTTTTTGAAAAGCAGAATATTCCTTGGATATCCTTTGTTTTAATCATTAAGGATAAAACCTAGCTTTGGTCCACATTATATTTTTGACAGTTCCTAATTTTTGAAATATATATTTGACTAATCATGTAGGAAACAAAGCTAACATCAAATGTATGAAAGAAAGTGTCACACAATAACATTTCATTCTAAAAGCTATATCCAAATGAAGATATGGTCTGAATATGAGTCATTTGTGATTATTTTCAATTATGGCTGATAAATAAGATGTTCACTGAGCCTTTACATGAAATGGAGTTGCATCATAGTCTTGAAAATGAATTCCCTTAGAAGTTGTGATCTTCATAATAGCGCCATTTAAAGCATCATCTTCAATGAGGGTTATTGATCCATTGGCAATCATCGATGGGCTAAAAGTAAAGGAAACGTGGTGTATTTATTTATTTATTTATTTAATCTTAGAAAGAAAGAGGAAGGGAAAGGGAGAGAGAGAAACATCAATTGGCCCTGATTGAGAATCGAACCAGCAACCTCCCTGCGCCTAAGGGAACATTCAATCAACTGAGCCACACCAGGCAGGGTGAAACACTGGCATTTTAAGACTGAAGATGAAGGCACAATTTTCACTTCAATTTTGGGGTACTTTTGAATAATTTACTACCTTTAACATATAATAGGGAAATGTATATTGGGAAACTATTGTTACCTCCATTTTTTTATTCAATTACATATTAACTAAATTAAATTATATAATAAATTTAGTGGTAGATTTCTATGTCTAACCTTCTGCCATTTTGACAGGAAGGACTTATAAATTTATATTTATTATTAAATTGACAAAATTATTTTCTAATTTTTACCGTATCAGTAGATCTTAGATTTCATCAGATAGAAATGTCATTAGAGTACAAATAGAAAGAATTTTAGCTAACATTTATTGAATCTTTTGCTGTTTTAAGTACTTTATATCTATCAACTTATTTGTGGACTCTCAAAAGTCCCCTAAGTTAGTTTTAGTATTATCCCCATTTTACCTGTGAGAAAACTGAGCCTGATGGATAAATTCATGGTCATAAATGCAGCCGGACTTGATCCCAGATGGTCTGATTCCATCAGTACGATAGCTATGACTTTGTACTGTGAAACTCCAACTGCTCTAACTCAGGCCTTGTTCACCAAACATATGTGTGATCAACTGATTATTATAAAAGTGGTTGAAGGCCTGGATGGTGCCGCTCAGTGGATTGAGCACCATCCCATGAACAGAGAGGACCCAGTTAGATTCCGGTCAGGGCACATGCTGGGGTGGCTGGCTCGATCCCTAGTAGGGGGCATGCAGGAAGCAGTCAGTAGATGTATCTCTCTCACATCTATGTTTCTATCCCTCTCTCCTTTCCTCTCTCTCTAAAAAAATCAATAAAAACATGTTTTTTTTAAAAAATGGTTGAACAATGGACATAGACAACAAAGCTGGGGAAGGGTGGGGGGGATCGGGAGGAGGGTGTCAATGGGGATAAAGGAGAAACATCTGTAACAAAAACAAATTAATAAAAAAAGAGGGTTGAAGTTAGGGGGCCATATGAAGTTTCACAAAGACTATATGTAAATATCGCTTGGAATTTAGGCAGATAAGGAATCATTCCTTCCAAAGGCAACTAAACATCACCTTTCTAAATAATATCTGATTGTGGCTGAAGGTATTAATGATGCATTGTCTATATCTTATAGCAAAATTCCTAATGTATAAACACATTCTCTTCAGCAACCCAGAAAAAAATTTATTTTAGAGTTGGCCAAACCAAAATTTTGAAGTTAGCATTAGTTTCTCAAATTTAAAACCTTATTTTTTTCCCACTATTTATTACTTATGTGTAGTTAGTACAATGCTCCATCATATATAAAAAAGATAGGTACAGTTTTACTTACTCCAAAATCCCATAGTATTTCATCATATCCTTGATGGGGCCCGTATATTCTATATATTGTCCCATGTTTTCTTCTTTTTCAATGGATTCAAGGATGGGTGTATTGACAAAGCCTGGGCAAATGGCATTCATTCTCACACCACTGTTCATAAGAATAGCAGCCATCTGCCAATTGAAAAAAGACGGCTGCAGGTTTCCGTAGTTTTATAAATGCACCCCACAAGACAAACTGATAATTAAAGTTATTCAAAAGACTCTGATATGAATAACAGTAGTCAGATTTCCTCTGGGCTTTATAACAATCACGATGTGAAAGTTGGCTGGTAGCAGAAAGTAAAAGAATGTGTATCTAAAGTGATGAATTAATTCCTGAAATCTTCACCTAATTAATTTTTTAAAAATCAGTATTACTGGACAACTCCTAAAAATAATTATCTAAGCTGCTCTTATCTAGTGAACTCTGCAGGAACTTGAAGGCAAGAAGCTGGTTTAAAATTAATATCCCAAGTTTTCTTTCAAAGATTAAGGTTGTGTAACAGAATATTTGCTTGAAAATGCTGTTAGTGGAACAGAAGTAGGGTACAGACTGACAACCCTCAGAAGAGGGGGTGGTGGGGGGTGGGAAGAGATAAACCACAGAACTTATATGCATGTATGCATAACCAGTGGACATGAACAACAAAGCCAGGGACGGGGGTGGGGGTGGGGTGGGGAGGAGGGTATCAATGGGGTAAAAAAGGAGAAACATCTCTAACAAAAATAAAATAAAATAAAATAAAATAAAATAGTTTGCACTTAAAAAAAAGAAAATGCTCTTAGTGGAAAGTTTTAAGACTTTGATTGATACTAAAGATACTCTTAATTATCTGGAAGACAAATGTAAGTAGTTTCAGACTATTAATCTTTGGCTTAGTTTTCAAACTATTGACTTATTTGAACTATTTATAAAACAAAATGTAGTTGATTATTTGAGGATTCTATTTGCTTACTTACTAAAATTTATTTGTAACCCTACCAAAATAAATAGGGAGCTTTCGGGTCATTCGTGGGCAAGCACAGAGCAGCGAGAAACATAAGCTGCCCAATGCCGATGTTCCAAATAAAATCAAACAAAATAATGTTCTGTTTTCTTGTTTCAGCTCTTCTAACTATAAACAATTGTCCTTTTCACAGTGTACTTAGTCCACGTTTTTCTTTTTGTGCTTTTTGCTATTGATTTCGCTATTGCTATTTAAAATGCACCCCACACCCCCACACAGCATAGTGCTGAAGTGCTGTCTCCTGTTGCTAAGAGGGCTGTACTGTGCCTTACAGAGCCAATGCGGGTGTTAGGTAAGCTGCACTCAAGCATGAGGTATAAGTGCCAGTGGCCATAAGTTCAGTGTCAATACAATACAAATTAAATAAGGTATATTTAGGCAGAAATTCACATAAAACTTCAAACAGAAATTCACATGCATTAATTGACTGATGAAACTGTGACCAGAGGCTCAAAGAAACTTCTCTAATTCAGTGTGTACGAGTGATCTGAGAACATAACTGCCAGAAATAAGAGTAGACTGTGTAAGTTTGCAGTCTTGTAATCGTAAATACGAGATTTCTGGTTGTTGAGCTTTATTGTGCTTTTTAGTACCTTATGTGTTCATTAAGCTGAATTAAGTCTTTGCAAATTAAATTAAAAATTTCAATACATTTAAATTAAGATTGTGAGAGTTGCTTATCTTCTTGTTCTCTTTATCCGTAGTATTTCTTCTGTTAATATTTTTCTCTTCATCTGTCTGGTCTCATTCTCTTTCTCATCTAGACTAACCACTGCAGAGACTTTCTAATGTCCTCACCTCTTCTACACTTGTCCTCTCAATGTATTTTCTAAATAGCAGCCAGAATGGTCTTGCTGAAAGGGAAATCTGATCTTGTCACTCCTGTGTGTAATGGCTTCACATTGAATAAGATCCAAGCTCATTACTATAATCCATAAATTCCTCCTGGTCTGGCTCATACTTACATTTTCAGTCATTTCTCATCATACTTCCCCTTACTCATCTAGCTTCATCCAAACTACCTTTTTTTCCCCAGTCATTATGAAAAGGCAGGCATTTCCACTTTACATTATCAATGTATGTAGTCATTTAGGTCTAACATATTTTCTATAAGCTCTGTACACCTTTCACGCTAGACCTCCATAGAAACGTCATCCTTGACTACTCTCCCAAGCAAATTCCTGCCCTACCCCTTCTGCCTGCCCCCAGGCTCTCACTCATTTTTATTGCGTCTCCAGTGGCTGCAGCATACTAAAAATTCTATTTAAAGAAGGCTGAAGCTAATACTTTTTAGATTTGGAGTCAATTTTAAAATTAAAGACTGTCTTCCCATTATTTAGCCTTAGCGTATTTTTCAATAACACATCTGTGTTTAGAATCTACCTCATTTAAAAATGATCTCTTCTTTATTTGGTCCTTTATGTGATCTGAAAGTATTTTTTATAATAAAGATAGAAATATAATATTTTTCTTTTACTCAGATGTATTAAATTCTGAATTTATTCCCCTTGACTAGATAGGGCTCATGCTACATATATGTACATGAGAGAGAAAAAGAGATATTGTGGTGGTCATGTCCTCACCGCTGCTGAGCGCGTGAATCCGATTATGCCATGCTTCGAAGCACAGTAAACAGGCTGTTGTGCAACTGGCATGAGTCCTAAAACAAACAAAAAATTGAAGCAATTTTATTAAACAATAAGCAGATCAAACTCAATAATTACTATGCAAATGAATACTGTGTACCTGTTCATTTTTAAATTAATCTAGAAAACACACTAAAATGATCACCAGACGACTTTGTAGAACTCACTAGTCTTAGCATGGTTCTTTCCTTCCAGGATCTCTATCTCTGTCTACTTACTGCACTGTCCAGAACTCATGGTAGGCAAGTTACAGCTGAGGAATGCAGCCAAGAATGATATGTACCTTTTTCTGTCTCCCTGACTCCCTGTCAAGAGAAGTCAATGTTATCTAAAACATAACGAGAATCATCTTTAAAGTCAGTAAATTACCATCTCATTTTCAGTCTTTAAATCTGGATTTTTAAAAGTATGCATTCTATATTTTTAAAGACTTCCAAATGGCTGAAGAAGTTCAAATTGCTTAAGTGGAATTTAGAGATTATTATTTGTTTTCATTATAAATTAGTATGCATTTTTCTGTCACCCATCACACTTCTAAATGTTTAAGAAAACTAAAAGTTAATTTTATTTTGATCTATAGTAAAGTCTTGATCTTCATGCCCTATGACCTCGGAAAAGAAAACCAGAAATAAAAATCTATAGTTCTATTTTATTTCCTTTCATAATCATGTACTCAACAATAGAATTCAAGCAATATTAGAATTTGTTTGATTTTCCACATATACATAATAGTAACTAATCAAAGTTATGATTAAATTTACGGTCTGGAGAAAAAGTAATATTGTAATATGTATAGCATCTTTTCTTCCTTACCTACTGGCCCAACCCCCCCCAACCCACACACACATACACAAAAACAAAAAACAAGAAAAAATTGTATTACTGTAGTACCTATTACTATCAAGATTATTTCTCATAACTGTCAATTCTCCATCTAATCAATAGTAAGACTTTTAATTTGTATATTTTGATTTTTAACTAATTTCTTGAAGTAACTCATTTTCATTTTTTAAATTTGTGGTTTCTGAGTCAAGAAACAGTGATCCCTGATTACTCTAATGTTATTGCTATCAAAAGTCATGTTCATGATACTCAATTATTTTGCTGAGGCATGCTCATCTCCACCCACCTAACTAGTCCTAGAACGCCACCAGTCTTGTGCCAAAGTCCAGCAATAAATGCACACCTTAACTGCTCCCTGGGTGCCTGCCAGGAGCAGTTTAAATTCTGAGAATGATAGTTCACACATTGTGCATCCACCCAGTGATCTCAAAGTACTGTAACAGGTGGTTCCCTTCTTGTTTTGTTTTGTTTCTAGGTTAAGTAAAATGTGTAAGTTAATTAAGTTTGGCAATATCAGTCAACAAGAAGTCATGATGCCTGCACGGGGTACACACTAGCATTAGGAGCTGAGATAAAGGCAATAAATAGTTGCACCAGGCATTGCTGCTTCTTGTTCTTTGAAGTTAGTCGCTGTTTTACCCTCTTCTTAAATGATTCTCAGACAAAGGCAGTATGGTTGTAGGATGGAGTTCACCACCGACTAGAAATGCAGAAGGAAACTTCATCAGAGATAAGCTAGCTGACACAGCCACAAAAAGCACACGGACACTGTTCATTAATGTTGTTGAAGATGAATTTGGAATGAATGTGTGTTACATATGTGCAGGTACTGAACTTCTGAATCCAAGCTAGTTTAAAGTGTCATAGAAGTGCAATAAATCAAATACTGTTGTGTTGTTTGTGTTTAAGAAGTAAGCACAAGACATATACTTTCCTTTAAAGGTAGAACTGGCTCTGGCTGGTTTGGCTCAGGGGTCAGAGCCTCAGCCCCAGGACCAAAAGGTCTCAGGTTCAATTCCCAGTCAAGGGTGCACACCTCAGTTGCAGGTTTGAACCTCAACTGCGTGGGAGGTGGCCAATAGAGTTGTCTCTCCTACATCTCTCTCTCTCTCTTTCTCTCTCTCTCTCTCCCTCCTTCCCTCCCTCCCTTCCTCCTTCCCTCCCTCCCTCCTTCCCTTTCAGTGTCTCTAAAAACCAGTGGAAGAATATCCTTGATTGAGGATTAAAAAATAATAAATAAATAAAGGTAGAACTAAAAATGCAACCAGAAAGTGAAAGAATTTGCATTTTAAAGTGGCACTTGGTTTTATGAATCTTGTTGTAACATTCTAATGACATTTTCACTGCTATCCTAGAAAACAATTACTGTGTTTCACTTTTTGATATTAGATCAAAAGTTGCATAAATTAATTTCAGACATGCAGAAATTGAGCATCCTTTTTTCTTTAAATTTTTTTTACAGCTTTATTGAGGTATAATTCACATATAAGTTTTGACATATGTGGACATCCATGAAACCACAACTACAATCAGGATGATGGACCTATCCATCACCCTAAGTTTACTCATGTCCCTTTGTCATCCCTTCCTTCTGCCTTTTCCCTCCCCCAAGGCTGCCACTGATCTGCTGCTTTGTGTCATAATAGATTCGTTGTATTTTTCTGGAAGTTTATGTAAATGTAATCATATAGTAAAATTCTTTTTTGTCTGATCTCTTTCACTCAGGATAATTATTTTAAGATTTATCCATGTGGCCCTGGCCAGTTTGGCTCAGCGGTTAGAGTGTCGGCCTGCGGTCTGGAGAGACCTGGGTTCAGTTCCTGCTAAGGGCACGTACCTCGGTTGCAGTTTGTCCCCGGCCCTGGTTGGTCGTGCGGGTGGCAGCCACTCGATGTGTCCCTTCACGTCGATGTTTCTCACTCTCTCTCCCTTCCCCTCTCTCCCTCCTATCTGTCAAAAAAATGGAAAAATATCCTCGGGTGAGATTAAAAACAAACAAACAAAAAAAAAACAAGATTTATCCATGTGGTAGTGTGTATCAATAGCTCATTGTTTTCTTTTTTTCTGAATAGTATTTCACTGTAAGGTTAAACCCATCAATTGTACATACATTCACCTTTGATAGATATGTGGGTTCTCTCCAATTATTTAGGCAAGTTGAATTAATTTTGTTAAATAGAGAGCTTTTCTTTATCTCCACAATACATGTAGATGTTAACTGTTGCTTCTTATGTTTCCAAAAGGTAGGATGGGTTAATGATCTGCAGTGTCTTTTCCCCAATTTGCAAATAATTTTCTTTTTTCTTTTCCCTTTTTTCAATGATATCCTAACTTTTTGTGCCCGCCCTCCCCCGCAAGGGATGCCCCACTTCTGCTGCCTTAGTGTCTCAGAATTTGGGTGTTGTTGAACTCAGATACCATTTTGCCATCCACAGTCTTGTGGGTAATGGTCTTTTGGATGGATTGTATGGAGCTGCTGTTGTCCAGGGCATCACCAAAATCAAGGTCCTCCCATTCTTTCAGCAGGTACCAGTTAGTGGCGATTTCAACCTCCAGCTTTACCTTAATGTTCAGCAGGGCCTCATACCCCTGGGTTTGGCACAGACCCTCTGCCCATGGCTGGGTCAGCTCTGACTCTAGGTGCAGCAGGATCCCATTGAGCTGTTCCATCTGCATGGCATAGCACATCTCCACTCCTTCAGGCTGTTCTTCAAACTGGCCTTCAGATTCCTTATTGAGTCCAGGTCAATGTCCAAGGACTGGACCATATATCTCATCTCCATGACTAAACTCAGTAGCTCCTATGTCAGTGGTCTGAGAGATGACCACTGTGGTGTTCTCCTCAGTATGCTGGGATGAGTACTTGTCAAGCTCCTCCCAGTTCTTCTCAGCCAGCTTGTCATACTGGGCCCAGATGTCTGCCATGATCTTGCTGAGATCCTGAGATATGGGGGCATCCAACTCTACGGTCAACCCAGAGTTGGCAATCTGATTTGCAGACTATTTACTTCCTCCTTGTGGTTCTTCTTCACAAAGAGCAGCTCCTCCTTGAGAGCCTCGATCTCAGTCTCCAGCTGTAGCTGAGTGACACTAGTACCATCAGTGACATTTGGATCCCATTTATGTCACTCTCCATAGACTAGTACATGGCCAACCCCATCTCATTCTTGACTCTGAAGTCATCAGTAACAAAACAGGCATTGTCACTCTGCAGAATAATGCAGGCATTGTCCACAGAACCTGCAAAGATCTGAGCCCTCAGGACCTTGATGGTCTTGAAATAATGCCCCTAGTCTCTGACCTGGGGTCCCTTCTTTTACATATGTTCCCAGAGTTTGCTCTCCAGTCTTTGATTAGCCTCCAGGCTTTTCAACGTCTCCAGGTAGGAGGCCTGGTGGTCACTCAGGCATTACATAGTCTCCTTCTCACTCTGGATGCCCCTATGCCCTTCAGACCTCCAGCCATCCTGAAGCCAATAACCCAGACCCCGGCTGCCCCACATGATGGTAGATTGGGACACATGGATCCAGGAACCCAAGTTCTTGGCACCTGCATAGAACCTGGACACACTACTAGACAGCTGGGGCAGATGACTTGGCGACTGTACAAAACCCAGGGTCCAATAGTTTGTGGAGAAGCTGGAGCAGATGCTGAAGCTTGTGTTGTTCAAGGAGAGAGGTCAAGACTCAGGTTCAAGCAGCACAACTGATTTTCAATGTAGAGATTTACTATCTCTACCTCAGTTTGTTTCTTTGAAAAGGTAAATTAAATGGAGGGAGAAAATGTCTTGTTCAAGTTTTTTGTTTTGTTTTTTTTTTACAATTACTTTAGGTGAACATTTTTCAGAAATCAAACATTTTTTATTGGTTCTCAAGATTCAATTCCTTCATAAGTATAATATTACTGCCATTGTGGTTTAGCTTCAGTATTGGCTAACCACACTTCTATTACTGACCTTAAACCCACACAGCATCGTATAATGTTTCTATGTGCTTCAAATAAAAATATGTTCTGACACTGGTAATAAGATCAACAAATAGAATTGTGCCAACTGTGCGGAGTGTGCATGGTATGACTCTGGGGTCACCATTCATGTGGTAGTTAGCATAAACAGGGTCCCCTAATGTTTGTGCAGCTTATAACCTATACGACCATACAGGTTAGCCCTTTA